AGATAAACTTATAATATAAAAGTCACAACGTGTCAGAAATTTTATTAAAACTGTATAAAACTGCACTCAGATAATTTGTGTCTTAAGCATCCTGCAAAGGAGTGCTTTATGAAGACATAAACTTTAGTGAAAATTTATTTAGAAGATAGTGGCCCAATACAGATGATAATCCCAACCTTTTTTTGATTCAGGTGTCCAAACCTCACTCTATTTGTTGCAGGCTTATAAACCTGACATATTTTTCTGGATTATTGACTCACTTTAAGTCAAAGGTTTAAGACTGGAAATACTATAATAGAAGACCACATAGAACTAGTACTTATTCATAAATTCATAAACCATCAGCTATGCTGAGAACAAACAGTAATTTCTAGTTGATAATTACAGCTGGGATTCCAGACAACCTACAAGGTCATTTATTCCCACTACCATTTTTGTCTTCTGGCACTGCTGCATGGAAGAAATCAGAAGCTTTTGCTTCCATTTTAAATTAACCACTGCTTAATACTTCATCCAGCTCTTCAACTATAATCCCAGTTATTCTTCACAATTAATTTTATTCTTAGCTTTCAAATTATTGAGAAAATCAATTTGCATTTTGAATTCTCAGTCTAAAGGTTTCTTTTATATATATACTTTTTAATAGGCTGATATAAGAGATTTACATGATATTAAGTAATCAATTAAGCCAATACCATAGTCTCACCACATTTATATTTATTGTTTTAAATTCTATTTGCTGAAATCACCAAGCCTTATCATGTTATCTAATAGAGTTGACCTGTGCATGTGTGTTTAAATTTGTTTTAGCCTATCTTGAAAATAAGTAGGCAATGTTTACCAGGCCATAGGTCATAAATAATATGTATTTTAAGCACTAGAAAGATGTGGTATAATTTCCATCAGTACATAAGGAGGTTGTAGCTGTACAGAACAGCAAGCATGGAATGCTTTTGCAGCAGCAACAAAGCAACTTGGGCCACCTTAATTTGAAGATGGATTATGTAGCCCCAGCTAATTTGGCCACAATAGTAAAAAAAACTGAAATATGTTAATTGGTGTACTAACATCAAGGCCAGTTTGAGAAAAAGACCAGGACTGGCAAAGTCTCAGAGTTTCTTTGTGCTGTCAGGTCTGACCACTAGAAGCCAAATTTCAAGTCCAATCATGCGCAGATGGCTGGACAGAGTTTGGTGTATTTCAACGGTAGTAGGCATTGGGGGGATTAGGAACAACAATTTGGCTTAACCTTTGGATTGCTGCAGGAGGACATCTCCTGATGCCCTGAAGTGGGTTTTTAGTGTGCTAAGCTTGGAAATTAGAGTAAGTGGCCTCCAGGAAACAAATTGCTCCTTTCCTCATTCTTAAAACCCAGAAAATGTCTCCAAATCTCCATTCTGAGGCTAACTTCAGTTGAATTGGCGGGGGGGGGGGGGGGGGGGGGG